CATTAAAGGTGCTGAGAATAAGAGACATTGGAGGCCACAGCTGAAAATGAGACATCTATATTATATCTCTTCCTCTCAAGACTAAGGGATCATCATGCAAGAAGAGACAAAAAGTGTATAACAACCACAGTTCATAAATGATTTCAAGCAAAGATCTTTTGTAAAAACAAAACAGGACACTTGGACATAAGATTTCACTTGTTCTGACACTATGCACAAAACCTGAAAAAGAAGACAAATCTGACAAAATTCCAGCAGACAGGAGGTTGTCAGGATGTGCAACTACTAACTGAAGAGCTATTGAACAGAGAATGTGGGGTTTTTTTTAATAAAAAATTGTGAGGATACTCCTGCTTTTATAGATGCCCTGTACTAGACACACATTATTATCACAAAGTAGATTTAATGCAGCTTTGGTGTTGTTATTTTTAATTTATTTATTTATTTATTACATTCCACATGTGCCCCTTCTCCAGGTCTCACCAATTCTTTTCCACCATCCCCATACTTTCCTTTTCATTGTCAGGGACAGCCCTGTTTATACATTGAAGGCCTAAAATCAGCAATAGACCTGACATACATACATGCCTCCTAGCAGAGTCTTGGGTCTCTGTGGAAAAACACTGAAACATATAGCTATAAGATAATGTAAACAAGCAGCTTTGGTGGAAATTTACCAGCCTGGGTGAGAACATGTAGTCATAGGTCTTATGGATATTCATAGACCTTGTGTAGCCTTGGTGGATAGTACCAACTTAGATAAGGACAAGTGAATCATAGGCAGAGTCATAGTGACCTGTCCCCTGAACCTTCACCCAGCTGATACCATGTTCTGGAAGATATCTGTATTCCCCCTGAACACCTATGCTCCTATGTCATCCTCTTCCCCACATCCTGCCTTTTTGTGTATATAATCCCTGTGTGAAAAAGTAAAAATTATGATTTGATCAGACTATAGACAAATTGTGGTTCTTTGCATCTGCTTTTCCCCCCACTTTCTCTTTCAGGTGACCTCCCCAGACCCCTGTTTAATGCCCTGCTGGACAGGACATTTCACCATCTTCATCTTCTTTGTCATTGTATTTGTCATAGTTCTCCTCCTCCTCTTCCTCCTTCTCCTCCTCCTCCTCCTCCTTCTCCTCCTCCTCCTCCTCTTCTTCTTCTTCTTCCATTTTTTTAGAATTCAAGGGGATAATGAAGGGTGGATTTGACTAAAACACATTTTGATGTATGAAATACTCAGAGACATTTAATAATTAATTGTTCTAAATGTTCTTTTAAAGAATTAACTTTATTTGGTTTGGAAGCAGAGAACCCTGAATTCAATGAAACTTACAGACTTTTCTAAACTTCCAATTAATCTAACCTCAAAGTTTCTAGAACCTTGTACAAGAGAGCTTGTCAGTCATCCTCCAGGGATCATGAAAAGTTAGCAGCTTTTCAAAGCTTTTCAAAGTACATTGTTCCTTAAGAGATATGCATGAGAAACTTTTAAATGCCTTTTTTTTAATTAGCAACTGGGGAAAGATTCATGAATGATATTGTCTCCCTAAGCCAGTGCTCTTATTGCCACTGCAGGTGAAATGAAAATTGTCATTCTAGAGGGAAGTGAGGTCACAGAGTCACAGACCTTTGTCTCAGGTTTCATCTGTCTACCTCTCCCACGGTGCTTGTTATTATGAAGTCAGGATATATACACTAAGCTCAACAGGCTACAGAGGCAAGAAGCCAGGTGAGTATTCTTTCATTCAGAATGTATTGTAGAGCCAGCAAAGAAAAGAAGCGTGTGAAAGAACTCATGTCTGATCATGACAACCTGGGATAAAAACACATCTATGGAACAGACAGAATAGGCACAAGAATAATTCAAAAGCTAACAGGTTAGTGAGAAAGACAGAAATGTTTCTAACCTGTACAAGTCCCTCACTGAGGGTGACTGTGGGTAACACCAGGGTAATGCAGCCTATCTGTGAATGTGTTGAAGGACTGTGGTAATACATCACTGTGATTATTCAACTTACCTTATATAATGTGTAGAATAACATTGCAGATGTTATTATTATAGGTGAACCTACACAGGTTTCACATCATAGTAAACATTGGAATGAAAATATAAGATACAGGATATGAATATGTTCTGGAGTAAAAAGTAGTTTTATGTGAATTTTTATGTCAGTACCTTTGTGAGTTATAGAGGAAGTAACTGATTGTATTGTATCACCCTGATACAATTACTGCTTTGAAACTTCTCTCTTGAACTTGGGAAGAGATCACTGAAGGGAAGTTGTAGAATTAGTATAACAGCAATGACACCAAATGTGTCTTGAGTTTAGTCATACTCTAATGTTTATCATAACCTGATAAATGGTTTCCATTACTGTTTTTATTGTTGTTAATGGAACACAGGGCCATATGCATGCAAATTCAAGGCTCTACCCCACAGCTATGTTCGTCTCCATACATGGTTCTTTATTTCAGTTGGGAAAATGTTTATCTATTCACATTTTTCCAAGGTGCGTTTCTATATGTGATATGCACCTCCTCTATTTGGTTGCATTGTCATTTTTATTATAAGAGGTTCATTAATATAAGAAGCAGTTTGTATAGAATTTTAAATAAGATATTTCAGTACCAATTTAATCTAAAGCTATTTCAGCACACTTTATTATTTCATGCTATCCTTTGAACATAATAATGGTATTAATAATTCAACTTTAATTAACATTAGAGCTTTTCCTCCTAAATGATAACAATGCATTTTGCCTGGTGACACCACAAATACCAGGTCTTGCCATTTGAAACTTGGATGTAGGGTAACTTTCTCTCAGGTCAGATCATACGAAGAACATTGTATTTTATTAATTTCTCAAGAACTGTATTAGCACTTGTCATCTGCCTCTGAAATCACGCTTATGTGAAAATGAAAATTTATGTAAAAGATTGATTCATTATCTATTTTGATTTTGTGTTCATGAATGTTTTACCCCCATGCATATATAGGTACTATGAGAATCCAGTCCCTGGACATCACAGAAGATGGTGCAGGAATGCCCTCTAACTTGAGTTACAGGCAGTTGTGAGCCGCTATATAGGTGCTGAAAACCAGACCCAGGTCCTCTCCATCAGCAGCATGGTTTCTTTACTACTGGGTGATACCTTTTGTCTCCCATAATCAAAATTTTCCAAAGCCAAAAGCATACAGTAAAATACCAACAAAGTGAAAAAATGTCAAGTGAGAATTACAATTTGTGTGGAAGGCTGGAGTATGGTTGATAATACCTGTCATGGCTTTGTGAGCATGGACAGTGCAGACTGTATTTGTACAATAGTAGCCATTTTCAAGAACTTCTGGCCTCCATTTTGACAGTAAGAGCTTTTGAATTTGCAGAAACACTTGTACATTTGTGTTTCTAGGTTCTGGCCTTGACAGTGGAAATAAAGCTACTGTCCACATCAGACAGTTATCAGCATCAAAGAAGTTATAAACCTGAGAGGATAACAGTGATTCACAAATTGTTATCACTGCTGTCCATTTATATACTTAGTTAATAAAAAAATTACACCTGCTATTTCTTATAGCGCTCACAATGTATGAGGACAGAGTACAGAAGCAGAAATAAACAACCACAAAGTCTAACCTGTTAAAAGTAGAAAGGGAACAAGCTGACATTTTGTATTGACATATGTCTTTATTATTGCCACTTTCAGTGTACTGTAAAAATTAGGGAATACTCTATCTGAACTGCCTGATTTGAGGACTCTTTACAACAAGAAAGGAATGTGTCTCTTATAATGAGGCTGATGATGTCACTGAAAATCTGTCTAATATGGTCAGTGTAAGAACTTTGTATGCAAAGAAGTTAAGGAATGCAAATTTACATATTGTCTGGAGAGAAAATTTACACATAATGAGCCAATGAAAGATAAATACTTTCCTGACTGACTCTTAACCATTTCTAGGAACATGCAATTTTTGGTGGATATGCCAGTGAATATAAGGGATTGAAAGATGATAGAAGATGGTCAGGCATGATTGAGAGAACTGGGTATAAGAGGCAGCTTTTGCTGTCTCATTCACTGAGTGGCATAGAACTGTGTTTTCTATTAGGATCATGGGATCCGCAGGATAAATTGTCAATTCTCAAACACATTATACACATAGTTCTTAGTCATTATCAATTAAAGAGTCTCAAATGTTACAGCAGCTGTTAGAATGTCAATAACAGTGAGTGAATTTTTGGAGCTACCTAGGTATTTCAGGTCAGTTCTACTGGAATCATCCCTCTGGAAATGGACATGTTCTGTCATTAAGAACAACTTGAGGTAGGTAAAACTTTAAAAAGCTTCTAAGGTATAGGCATGATGTCTTTATGCAGTCAGTAAATGTTTTCTTCGTGTTATACAATTCTTATTTTTCTGCTCTCAGGTCTTGTTTCAATTTGGACTTGGCATTGAAATGCTTATGTGAAAAATATTCTGTCTAAATTCTTATCATTTATTCTTTGCCTTGTCAATATATGCTGATCATGCAAAGAGTGAGTAGAAGAGAGAATAGAACTAGACTTCTACTAGCCAGGGGAATGAGACATATATATAATTAAATATATATAATATATATTAAATATTCTCTCTCTCTCTCCCTCCCTCCCTCCTTCCCTCTGTCTCTTTCTCTCTCTGTCTCTCTGTCTCTCTCTGTCTCTCTCTCTCTCTCTCTCTCTCTCTCTCTCTCTCTCTCTCTCTCTCTTTCTCTCTGAGGTATTGAATAATCCAACAAGCATGGAAATAAATCACTCATTTCAAAGTTTTTGGGATGAGGGTCTTGTTGTTTAATGTGGTCTATGTTGACCTTGTACCTGTAAGTATAAAGGATCCTTTATTTCAACCTTTTAGGAACTCCATAGATTAAAGTTGTCCTCATTCATCACAGGCTATGACCAGATGCCATTATTCATTTGACCAGAAAAAATACAGGGACTATATTGTAAAAGGAAACTCTGCTGAATCGCAACATGAACTTCTGGAATCTGGCAATCAGAATTATTTTCTTATCACAAACTGCTACTGGAATTCTGGGAAACTTTCTCCTTATATTCTACTATCTAGTCCTTGACTACAGAGAACACTCATTAAAGCCCACAGATTTGATTCTGATGAACCTAATGGCAGCCAATGTGGTGGTAATTCTCTCTGTAGGTGTGCCTCAAACAATGGCAATTTGGGGATTGAAGGAGTTCTTGAATCATTTAGAATGTGAGCTCCTATTATTCCTTCAAGGATCTGGTCGAAGTATGTCCATTTCCACCATCTGCCTCTTGAGTGTCTTCCAAATCCTAACCATCAGTCCCAAGAAATTTTGTTGGAAGCATAAATTCAAAGCTGCCAAGTACATTGGCTGTTGCACTTCCTTCCTCTGGGTCTTGCATGTGTTAATTAATTTCATTATTTTTCTGTACATATATATTAAAAAGAATAACACAAATGTGACAAGAACACGAGATTTTGGGTACTGTTCCATTATAGGGACTGATGACATCAGTGACTCACTCTATGCAGCTTTGGTGGTGTGTCCTGAAGTCTTCTTTTCTGTGCTCACTGCCTTGGCAAGTATCTTCATGATTGTCATTCTGTACAGACACAAGACGAAGGTTCAATACATCCATAGCACTCATGGTTCCGGCCACACTTCCCCAGAGTCCAGAGCCATTCAGAACATCCTCATAGTGGTGTCTACTTTTCTGGCCTTTAGTACTCTCACCTCCATCTTAAGAGGGTGCATAGCTCTTTTTTATAGTCACAGTTGGTTGCTGATGAACATCAATCACTTCACTTCTCTGTGTTTCCCTACTTTTGCACCCTTTGTTCTTATGAGTCATTATTCCATTGTATTTAGACTCAGTTTAGTCCAGTTAAGAAAAAAGACTGTCTCATAATTCTCTTATTGCCCAATTTTTTACTCACTCTTAACACTAGTAAGACAATAAAGAACATTAAGGGAGTTGTTCCTTGTCTTTCTAAGATTAATCAAGTCCAGTCAAAGGGTGTTCATTTGTACCGCATGCCTTTTGAGAGAGTTCCAGGCAATGACCATCAGTACAAAGAAATCCTTTTGGAAGCATCATAAAGACAGACCTGCCAAGAACATTAACTGTTCCATTACCCTCCTCTTGGTCTTGCACTTGTGAATCAATTTCATTTCCTTTGTGTACACATTTATCAAAAGGAATGGAAAAATGTGACAAGAACATGAGCTTTTGGACTGTGTTCCCTTATAGGGACTGATGACATGAGTGAATTCATTCTGAACTCGATTTGACTCATTGTACTCTTCAACTTATAGATACTACAGTTTTTTCTTTGTGTGGATGATGTGCAAGGAAGCTAGTAAACCATCTAGCCATAAAGCTGCCCTTCTTATGGGTTTCATCCTATCAAGTATTCTTGACTGCCTGACTGCTGCACAGTCATCTGGTGTGTACTAGATTCTAACTGCAAGGCAAACTAAAACCAGGGCTAGTCATAAACCTGTAATTCAGGTGGCCCTTTTCCCAGGACAGCTGTTCTAGCCTACACTAGTATCAGAAAATGGCTTAAGTAATAATTCCCAAGGGCCTTTGCTTGTACTTTGGCCAGAAGCAATATTAGTTGGTTGCTTGTTAACTTATAGAAACAGTTATCCACAAAGGCATCATACCTAGCCACTGAAGGTAAAATGTTGATCCATATCTTTCACCTTGTACCAAAACTGATGGAAAATGAATGATTGTGTGTTGTTGCCCTGGCATTGTTTATTAGTATTTATTTTCCATGTTATTTAAAATAGATTTTTTTGTCATACAATATATAACCACAATATAGCTTCCTCTCCCTCAACTCCTTCCACCTTCTTCCTATCTCTTCTCCCATCTTGATCCACTCTCTATCTCTCATTAGAAAAGGCTTCTGTGAGAAACTACAAGGAATAACAACACAATATATGATACTATAAAACAAAAATTATCATATTGAAGTTAGACAAGACAAGCTAACAGAGAAATGAGCCATATTTCCACATATAGGAGTGCCATAAAAGTATGAAACTAAAGTTATAGTGTATATTCAGAGGAAGTCCTCCAGACTATGTAAGCACTGAGATTGTTGATTTAGTCTCAGTGAGTTCATATGAGCTTTTAATAGAGGGCCATTGTCTCCTGGTATCCTTTTTCTCCTTCATCTCCTGCTCTTCTTCATGCATTCTCTTCTGCTGGGACCCCTGACCTTTTAGCAGACAGATTTGAAGGAGATGTCTCATTTAAATCTATATATTCCAAGGTCTCTCTCTCTCTTAATCTCTCTCTCTTAATCTCTCTCTCTTAATCTCTCTGTCTCTCTCTGTCTCTCTGTCTCTGTCTCTCTCTCGTTCTGTCTCTCTTTCTGTGTGTATGTGTGTGTGTACTGTCTGCCAATGGTGCTCTAGATTTGCTCTCATCTATATTAGCATGAAGCTTCTCTGATCATGGATGAATAAGGCGCTGCTCTATGAATATAGCAGAATATCAGAATATCATTAGGTGTCAGTTATTTTTTCTTGTTTATATCAGTAGTATTTGAATTTACTATAGGTCCCTGGGTTATGCACACCCTGAATTTTGTTTCACCAAGCAATAAATAATGGATTGTAAATCATGTCGTTAGACTTCAAATCTGACATTGACTGTTTACTCCTACAATGTTCATGTCACCATTGCCCTAGCATATTTTGCAGCTAGATAGATCACAGGTTTTGTGCATGAGTTGATATTTAATTTTCTCTTTTGGTATCCTGCAGAATAACTTTCAGTGTCATAGACACCATTTTGATCTCACAATGTTCAGTGACTTGTGTGTGTGTGTGTGTGTGTGTGTGTGTGTGTGTGTGTGATGGCTAGATCAGTGGGGCCTTTTATCCATTTGTGGAGTGCAATCTATTTTCTAACAATAGCTTTGAATGTGTGCGGATTTCCATGGGACCTTTTCGGCCACCAACTCAATTGGGTGACACCCAGTATGAATATTGGATATTTTGTTTTGGACATGAGATGGCCAGTTGGGGTCCCTTTTCCCTTATTATCTGGAGACTTCATGAGGATTGCAATCTGATAATGTACCAAGTTTCAACAAAAATAGATTTACATGCTGCTCATCAAAGTCCCCTAAATTCTAGCTGTGTCTCCTCTAATTCCTTCCCTCAAACCCACCTCCCATCCTATTTCACACCTGATCCTCACAATCATGTCCCTCCCCTCCTCCTGGCTCCAGTCTACTCATTAAATCTATTCTAGTTCTTTCTCCCAGGGACATATGTCTGCTCTAGTACTTTCCTCTATTCCCAATGTCTCTGTTTCTGTGGATTATAGCTTAGACATTATTTATTTAAAATTCTTATCCAGGTATATTTTAATATGTATCAGATTTATCTTTCTGGGTTATACACACCCTGAATTTGGGTATTACCTCATTTGGGATATTTTCTATTTCATCATTTGCCTGAAAAGTTCACAATCTCATTGTTTCAAGAGCTGAATACTACTACATTGTGTAAATATATGACATTTTCTTTATTCATCTCCCTGTTGAGGGACATTTAGGTTATTTTAAACTGATGACTATTTTGGATAGAGTAACAATGAACAAATTTTGGCAAGTGTCCCTGTGTTAGAATTAAGCAACCTTTGGGCATATGCACTAGAGTACTATAGCTGAATTTTGAGGTAGATTGATTCACTGAGGTAGATATGTCATTGATATCACTCTCAATTTATTTTTCATATGTATAATGCAGAACTACTAAGCTCTGTGAGTTAATTTTCTGTCTATTTGTAGATAATTTTTATCAGAAATTCCCAAAAATATTTTGGGATGTTTCTTTTTTATACTATCATATTTTCTACAAATATCAATATTTGGAACTTTTCCTTTCAAATTTTTAACTCCTTAATCTATATCAGTTGTCTTATTGGTGGAGCTAAAACTGAGCAGCATTAGATGTGACAAGAGTAAACGATCTTGCTTTGCTCCTGATTTTCATGGAATTGCTTTGTGTGTGTGTGTGTGTGTGTGTGTGTGTGTGTGTTTCCATTTAAATTAATGTTGTTATGAGCTTGCTGTCACTGCCTTTGTGATACATTTCTACGATCTTTGGTATCTTAAGCCTTCCAGGATTTTTATTTTATTGTGAAAGGCTGTTGTATTTTGTCAAATGCCTTTTCTGCTCCTCATGAGATGATTATGTATTTTCTTCTTTCATTTTTTATATGGTGAAATGCATTTATTGATTTTGATATATTGAACAATCCCTGCGTCTCTGTGATGAAGCCTAACTGGTTATGGTGATCATTCTTTTGACAATTGAAGTATTTTATAGAAAATCTTTGTGTCTATGGTTATGAGGAAATCTGCTTTATAATTCTGTTTCTTTGCTAGATCTTTATAATGGCTGGATATCAGGGCAGCTGGCTTTGTAAAATAAACTGAGCAGTGTTCTTTTTCTTTTTTAATTTGTTGAATAACTTGAAGATTATTGGCATTAACTCTTCTTTGAAAGCCTGGTAGAATTCTGTGATAAAACCATCTGGCCCTTGGTTTTGTTATGTTTTTTTTTTCTCTGTTTGCATGGTTGGGAGAACTTTAATTCCTGCTTTTGTTTCTTTAAGATTTATTGATCTGTTGGTATTTTTCTTGAGGGGGTTCTTTATCTCATATTGATTTAAATTCGGTAAGTGGTATGTATTGAGCAAATTATCCATTTCTTTTAAATTTATCGTTAGGTAGAGTACAGGTTTTTAAACTATATGCTTATGATTCTCAGGATTTACTCAAGCTCTGGTATTATATCTCCCTTGTAATTTCCAACTTAGTTAATTTGGATATTCTCTCTGTGTCTTTTTGTTCATTGGATAAGGTTTTATCAATTTACTGATTTTTCTTAAGGAATCAACATTTTGTTTCATTGGTTCTTTGTGTTAGTGTTGTTTTTGTTATTTCTATTTTATTGCTTTCATCCCAGAGGTTATTTTTAGCATCAACCCCTTTTGAGTGTGATAATTTCATTTTGTTCTAGAACTTTCAGACGTGCTGTTCCCTGGGTTTTCTCTCTGCCTCTGTTGAAATGAGCTGACTCAAGGTAGATTAGATTGTATTAAAGACAGTTTATTAGGAACTTATTCTCTGATGAGATGACTGGCCCCAAAAATTGATGCCAGAGGAATCACCACCCAGAAAGAGAGAGATATAGTTAGAAAGAAAAATGGGCACACAGTAGCAGAGAGAGAAGAGAAGAAGAGGAAGGGAGATAGAGACCAAAATATCTGGATTATACTGGGGAAAGGTCACCCCATTCCCCTGGCTGGAATGTTGAAAGTAGGGCTAAGGGTATGCCAGGTAGGAACTGGAGGAATACTGAGAGAAACTTGTTTTAGGGTCTAGAACATGGGCCTCAGTCTCCTTTTGTTGATGATGAATGGATAAGAGAGGCCATAATCACCCATGACTACTTCCTGTTGACTTTGGGACCCAGATTTTTTTAACTAACTATCAAGTTGTACTTCTTAGTATATAGATTTTTTGAGACTACAATCAAAAATTTCATCTCAATTTAAAAGTATCATTTGGAGATCTTTTTTGCTGCTCTGCCCATAATCAAGGTGGTGTTGAAGCCACAACTTGACTCTTTTTATCCCAAATTCAAAAAAGCAAGCAATCATTTGCTGTTCACACAATGTGTATACTTTTTTCTGTCAGCATGGTGGGGGATTTAAAATGAACCGGCTGGTCGTTCACCATCACCTTTGAAATGAGTGATTTCCTTGCTTTTTACATACACGAGGCCAATTTAATCCTAAACTAAGAACAAATCCCAGCATGGCAAGTTGAGTTGGGCATGAAAATTCTACTCATATCTCTTGAGCTGTAACTG